TAGATCTTCTTGCTAAGATTAGGAATCCACGCACGGACATGAAGAATTTTGTCTTTGATCACCCAAGGGGTCCGCTTGAGCACCCAATTCCGGGAAGCTTCACTTGGTAACACAAATTCAAACATGCCGTGTTTCGCCTCCATAACCCTGATCTTTCCCTTCCCTTGCCATGGAAAATTCAGCGATTCTCTGAGCTCCACTGAAAAGTCTCCCCACCAGTGCACACGAGCTACGGAACCGGGCGGGTTTAACTTCAGTCATGGAGAATTGAACGACTTGGTCTTGCTGAATACGAGCCATAGCTTTCACATGCGAAGCATCAAGTATGATGGGCTATTAGTTGGTGTCTCATCCCCCACCCCACCAACATGCCTTTTGGGGAAGTTACTAGCCGAATCTCCCTCGGAAGAGTAAGGCATAGAGAGCAACTGGTCGGAAGGTAATAGGCCGAAAGAAGCAAGAGTGGATGGGAGGTACAAACCTGAGTTTTGCACTACACCCGATTGGAGCACTCTCCGTAAAGCTGCCGCCCAAAGTATTCCACCAGCAAAGATGTTGTGAGAAACTTGTTTGGGAGGCAGGTTTAAATAAAGATGAGAGTTTAGCAGCCAACCGTCCTCTTGTTCGTCCAGAAGTGTTTGGGAATTGGGTTTACGTGTCTCAGAGATACTTCCATTTGAATTAGGAGATACAATCAAAATTTGATTTGAGACGGTTAGAATCCCTTTGAATCGGGGCCAGCAACGCATCTCCGAAATATAATTTATATTTTATATTTTTTATATGTAACTTTATATTTGGGACGGTAAGATTATTATTTATATTTTATATTTTTTATATGTAACTTTATAAAATTTGATTTGGGACGGTAAGATTATTATTTATATTTTATATTTTTTTTCCAGAAATATAATTTTAAATATTTATGACTATTAACATACTATTAAATGTAACATTAGCTTAGAAACGAAGTAAAATACTCATACGTATTTTATATGTAACTTTCTCATACCATATTTTACGCTTACCGTTATTAAATGTCATCACCTCCATCCGATGGTCAATAGATGTCCTTGTGCTATTCAATGTCCGTTATCATTTTGCTAAATTGCCACGGCTGATTTAAGAACACCGTTTTCACTAACATGAAGGATCGGCCAGATGTATGTATGTCCTTGGTTCAGCAACATCATATCTCTTTGATCACTGCTCTGTATAAAGAAATACAGAGTGCCCCATTTAATTGAAAGAAAGGAAAGAAAGAGAACAGACAGGTCCTTTATGAGAGAAAAGTACGTACTGAAACAAATCAGGAGGAGAGGAGAGGATGCCCATATAATATATAAAAAATGTAGGACCTACCATTGCTTGTACCCTACAACCCATCCATCCGTCCATCACTCTCCTTAGTACCTGCTTCCTTTCTTTTGATTAGACACAGAAGAGTTGTAGATAGTGGTTATGGCGATCGAGAAGCTGCTGCTGCTGCTGCAGAGGATGATGATGTATGATCCTCAATCCTCATCATTACATTCTCACAGCCCTTCCTTTCCTTTCCTTCATCAAAACATCGTCATCGTCTGTCATCACTCTCCTTAATCCAATCGTAACCCAACAACGTAACACATCATCTCCATGAGCCACAGCAAATCCATTATTATCATAATAGAAACTGGGTGGGTAATGGTATGGCGTTTATGTATTCTTCTGAGCAGAAAGAGAATGGATGATCACTGCAACTGCAAGAAACAAAACAGAGCAAACCCATGCCCCCAATGTCTCGTTTGACAAGACTGTACACAACACAAGCAAAGATGCTCCAATTCCAAAGAAAGGAAAAGGAAAAAAGAAAATGGCAATCGAGATAGAGAGGGCAGCTTAATTAGCTTTGTCCAGTCCAGTGTCAACGCCCCCTCCCTCCTTCGTCTGATCGGCTACTTCTTCCACCCACATCACATGGCATTCTACTGTTACTGTTGTATGTGCTAAAGGGAAGTAGTCAGGTTGTCCTTGTCGGCGACATTGCTCCACTTCCATGGATCATTCATTCCGCACTTTTCTATTTCGGTTAGTTGCTAAATGAGCCCCTATTCTATACAAAGATCCGTATTCTATTCAGGGGTATAATTTCAAATTAAGTAATTTATATGGATTTATACCCTTAAATCATATTAAAATAAATTTAGACCCTCACGTTAGAAATCACAAGAAGATACGTATAGACTTGAGACCGGCGCTCCCGGTCATCTCATTTATTGAATTTGTTTTTATTGTTCCCGTATAAGCACACGAACGCGTTAGGGTTTTTTCCTACTATTATTGCTTCATCTGCACTCCCAACTCCAAATAATCTCAAGCTTCATCTTTGTTGCGGTTGTCGTCGTGACTCTATATAGTGGCGGAGCCACACCGTGCCAAGGTGGGTCCGCTGCACCATCTTGGACAGCCAGCCTCCGGAAAAAACCATTGACACGGCGGATATGCAGCATTCAAGTACATGTTACCAATGAGAATTTGAGAATGGTTTTCAGTTTTCGCCGCTACCACAAGTCATTTATCACTTGTGTTGACATTAATTTGGTATATTTATTATATGTAGTGTTGGAGCTTACATAAACGAAAATACAATCTCACTTTGCCTCTATTTTCCCATCCCAACTTTGATATTAGAAAGAATAATGATCGGTTCGGGATGGGTATTTCAATATTCATACTCATTTCGTAACAAGTTGGGTGCAGATCGAATAATTTATTATGAGATAATGGTTGGGGCAGGTCAACCCATATTAGTAAGTAGTTCGAAAGGAAACTAGAAATATTCATTTTATCATTAAAAAACTAAGAAACAAACTATAATATGGTAATATAGTTAAATTATTTGAGAAATTGAGGTACTCATTTATTTACAACTTCATGATAGATAAAATATGATGTACTATAAGTAAAATCCTAAATAATTCGAGTAAATTACATGTAATTTAGATAAAAACAAGTCGATAATGGGACGGTCATGGCACATCTGGTCGAGGAGAATACTCATGCTCACCCGACTCGCTACAAGGAGAGCATTACCTATTTCAAAAAATGTCAAACAAGTCGGATAAAACGGGTCGGATCGAAATTGTCATCCCTATATACCTCCTGAAATACTTTCGACTTTCCCCCACATTTATCATTGCCCTCTTCTCCTCTTACAGGCTGCAATTTCTATAATAAACTTTACAGGAAACACCTTTTAAAATATGAAAACACATTGCGAATTATCATTATATGAGATTTTATTTTATATTGGACCTACCTTAGTAAAGTTCCTGGCTACGCCACTGACTCTATATATGTATCCTTGCTCATCATAGTTAGGGTTTTTTCCTACTTAAACACTTCTTTACAACGATTACATGAAATACACTTCTTTACAACTGTTACGTAAACACACAAATCCATTACGTAAAGGTTACAGAACATAGTTATTTCTTTAGTAACAGTGAAATTGGAAACGTTATGTAAGGCTTTCGTAATGATTAGCTCTTTAAGTAACACCACGTAATACTCATTACTTAAAGTGACATTCCATTGCGTAATGCTTCTGTAATGACATTTTACAACTGTTACGTAAATTTCAAATTTATTACGGAATTATAGTTATTTCTTACATAACAGTTACATAGGATACGTTACGTAAGACTTCCGTAATGACTTAGCACTTTACGTAACTCGAGGTTACTACTCATTATGTAAAAAGACATTCCATTACGTAAAGGTTACGGAACGACAGTTATTTCTTACGTAACAGTTAAATGATGAGTAGCATTACGTAAAACTTCCGTAATGACTTTGCATTTTACATAACGCGAGGTTAATAGTCATTACGTAAAGACACCTTCTATTACGTAAGGCTTCCATAATTATCTTTTACAACTGTTACGTAAGATTAAATATGTTACATAACCATTACGTAATGTCTATTGTATTTTACATAATGTGACTTGTGAAACCTGCTATAATAGGTGAAAAAAATTCAAATTACCTTAAAGTTACTGTAGGAAATCCCTACAAAGATAACACGAAAGCTACCATACATTGTAGCTTTGTGTTACGTTGCCTCCGACCGCCAAAACCAACGGTTTTGTATCAGCATTAACAAGATCTTGAATTTATTTTTAGAATTTCGTGGTGTTGGTTGATTTTCCTGAACGAACAAACCACTTGATCTTGATAACTCAAACTGCAAATTAGGGTGGAGGGATTACAGAATAATCATTTGTTTATGTGGGGGCTTTTCTGTAAATATGGGGGACTAATAAGGGCAAATTTGGTGTTTCAAGGGGGATTGTGGCTTGTCTTTGGTTTGTGTGGAATTGCTCACCAGAAGGAGGGGCATGTGAAGGGCTCTGGCAAATTGCTAAACCCCCCAATTATTATGCACCCTCCCCAACCCCACCTTTTTTTATTTAATTTTCATAATTCTACTAGTGGGTCATTTTTTGGTGGGGTCCTCCATTCAATTCTCTTCCTTCCCACTCCATTCTGGATTTTGGGTCCCTCCTCCCACAGTGTATGTCATCACTCATCATCACAAACCAAAATTAAGGGAGTCTACTCTAGTCTTTGATTGTGGATTGTCAAATATTTGATTACATGCATCATTATTCAGAGCATATTATAGTGGTTTGTTTTACAAGACAAGACCACACTTCATCTTTGAATGAGCATTACTTATCAATTTGACTTTAACAACTTCTAGGATGACAACACTATTAGAAATGTTGGGTAATCACTTGTAGCATAGTAGCACATTGTAACGATGCCGTAGCTCAAACTCTATCCTTATCATTTCCATCGACATATCCAAAATATATGGCGAGGGTTTCAAATAACAAACCTCAACATTTAACTCTCGGGAGGGGATTAATAGTCTCATCCTACTCCTATTACATGTTTTCTGAAAATGAATACATATACAACCTTATACCAGAAATTAATTGAGTAGCTGAAAGTTTTCTGCTTTGATTGTTTTTCCATTAGCTCAAGCATGATAAAGAGAAGAATAGGAGAAGGCAAAGAGAAAATCAAGGAGAGAAATAAGGCAAAAGAGAAGAAGAGAGGGTGGGAATTGTTCTTTCCCTTTTGTCCTTTGTTTAGGTGTTTAAATCTCTTATTATTTGCGGTTTTGCAACATATAAACACATATAAACATCATTATCGTCCTCCATAGCAACTACTTAATACTCTCTTACTACTACTAATCCTCCCTTTCACTCCCTACTTCCAACTTAATTCGGACTCCCATCATTAAGGGGGAAAAAACCCAAAATAAATATATCAAAGGTGAAAAATAAACATGGATGAAAATTTTAATTTAAACGAGAAAAGACCCATTTCGATGTTGTATATCAAACTTCCCAATCTTCCTCCACCGCAGCAATAAAAGCTAAGCAAGCTAAACGGCGGCAGCGCAGCAATCCGGGCCTGAATTCACTCACCCGACCCGCCTCTTCACATCAGGCTGCAACTCGAGGTGTTCTCGTCGCTGAAGTAATTCGTATACGGGTCGGTAGCCTGGGGATGCGGGTATGGATACGGGTACGGGTTCGGGGGCATGTAGTTCACCGCCGGTGGGGGTCTGGCGTACATCATCGGCTGAAACCTCTGGTCGCCGCCGCCGCCGGCAGCTATTGCAGCGGCTGCTCTTTGCTGGTTCATCATCGCCGCCATGTATTGTTGTTGCTGGAGAGACGGGTTGCCGGGCATTCCCTCGGGACCTGAACCTGGGAAATACCCAACCGGAGGGCCTCCTCCGCCGCCGCCGGCGTTCATCGGTAGGCCTTGGACCGCTGCCGCTATGTTATTGGGCATTTGGCCCATTGGAACTTGATGATGGCCCATGGGCACGCCGTTCATTCCGCCGCCCATTGGGCCCATACCTCCTCCATGGGGTCCACCACCACCCATGCTTCTGAAGCCTTCATTACTGCTCGCACCACCGCCGGCGTTATTTACCTTCTTGCCCCCGGCCATGTTCATGTTATTACCGTTCACACCACCACCGCCATTATTACCGTTCTGACCGTTCCCTCCACCGCCGCCGTGACCGCCATTTTTCCCATCTTGCGGTTTACCTCCACCTCCACCGCCTTTACCGTTTTGATTTTGATTCTGACCCGGATTCCCTCCGCCGCCGCCTTTCTTCCCACCGCCGTTGTTGAAATGAACGGGAACCGGTCCGTCGCCACCGCCTTTTTTCGCGGCCGCAGCTAGATGAGGCGGGAGCATTCCGCCGCCGGCGTTCATCATCTTGCCAGGGTGTCCATTTCCGATGATCGGCTTGGGCTTATTGGGAGGAGGAGCGCCCATCTCATCATCGAATTCGTCATCGTCGAAGTCATCCTCGTCGTCATAATCATCATCGTAATCGTCATCACTGAACTCGTCATCTTCAAGGGCGGCGAACTTAGCCGACTTCTGATTGTTCTGATTCTGCTGCTGCTGCTGCTGAAGGTGGGGAGGCATCTGCTGCGGCATTTTCATGGCTCCTTTCAATTGGGGAAGCTGCTTCAGATCTTGTAACCCGCTCATCTGCTGCTGCAGTTGTTGCAGTTGCTGGAGCTGTTGCGGGTTCAGTTGATGTCCGCCGCCGCCGCCACCGCCACCTTTGAGCTGGTTCTGGGGGTTACTGTTATTACCACCAGGGTGTCCTCCGCCGCCGCCTTTCTGGCCACCGCCTTTGCCGTTATTCTGGCCACCGCCGCCTTTGCCGCCGTGATCAATTTGCATGTTCTTGAATTGATTGGGCAGTTGATTGAGATTATGATTGTTGTTATTGGGTTTTTGGGCGCCCCAGGGCTCAGCATGTTTACCTGCTTTGTTGAGCTTCTTGATCAGGACGGCGGGGTCGACGTTTCCTGAAACAGTCACTTTCCCTTGCTCTGAATCTATGTGGGTTTTGAACACCCCTAGTAAGAAAAAAAAATCCAATTAAAAGGCAACAGTCAGTCAGAGTTAAGGTAAACTGGAAAAACAGAGCAGATCTTAAGAGAGTATGAAGATTTGGGGGGGTTTTTTCTCCTTTTTACCATCAATCTTCTGCAATATTTTCTTGACCTTGTGCTTGCAGCCATCGCAGTGTATGTTAACTTTGAGAACGCAGGTCTGCATGCGGCAAAAGGAAGAAACAAAATTACAGAGTAAAAGAGACAGATAACAACCGTTCACCCATAACCGACAAATGAAAGTAGAGAAAAGGGGGCAAAACAGAGCAGTGTAAAGATGCAAGCTTTGAGTTCAAATGAAGCAAAGTAAACTTCGGGAAGCTGCAAAATATAAAGAGAAAAGGAGGGTTACCTGGATCTTTAGGAACTCTTCTTTACTCATAGCTCCTGAGTTGTGTTGTCTCAGACAGTTATGGGTAAATGGGGTGAGTTATGGGTAAAATTAGATCTGTTTGACAGAAAGAAAAGGAACTAGAACACAAAGCTTTAGGAATGGGATGCCTGGTGATGTGCTCTGTCAACTGGTCTGTTATGTGATTGTGTAGCAATGGAAACAAAGACCCAGAGAGCAAAATGAAGTGAGAGAGAGAGAGAGTGAAAGAAAACAGAGCAGGATGGCGGAAGGGAGTCAGTCAGAATGCACAAGAAGAACAAGAAGGAGAAAGCAGGGGATGAAGAAGAAGTGGGAGAAAGAGGAAGAAGGTTGAGAAGAGAGGTGGGTGCACATTAAAAACCTTCCCTCTGGACCTTTTTCTTCTCTTGCTTCCTCTATTTCAGGGTTAAAGAAAGAAAGATCAACAGAAACATACAGAGTAGTATGGAAGAAGCAGAGTGATGAGAGAGAGAGAGAGAGTCTCTGTCTCACTGTGTGGGATGGAATGGGATTGATGATGATGATGATGATGATGATAATGCCGCAGAAACCCAACAAAACAAAAGAGGTAAGGAAAGGAAAGGGCTTGCCTTTCTCTCTTTCTTCACTCACTTTGCTTCTTCTTCCTTCTCTCTCACTAACCCAATTCCAAATTTTCTTTCTTTCTTCCTTTCCAGAGGTGGGAGGCAAAGAAAGCTTTGATGGTTTTAGTGTTATTTATTAGAACCCTCCACTGCTACCACTAGTACTACTAGAACTAGACTGCTTACTGGTTACTCTCCTCCATCTCCCACTCTTTTCAATATTTTAATAATTTTACTTTTTCACTGTTTTACCCAATACCCCACAAATTTTTGTGTCTGTTTTTTCACTCCCACATTATTTACTGATTTGCTTTCTTCTTATCTCTCCATAGCTCCTAAGTTCTAACTTCAAAGTTCAAACCCATTGCCAGTAAAAGCCAAACTCAATCCATGTGAGATCTCTGAAACCCAATTTGGCTGGGCTCTTAACTGCTCTCTTCCTCCCTCTTTCTCTCTAATAAATTCGTACTTGAGACCTGCAAATTGAAGAACAGCTTGAAATTCAATCTTGGACTCTCGTGGCCAATGGAGTCATGCTTAAACTTGCTTTCCTTTTTACCAGTGATGGGTTAGTTAACTGGGGATGGGGTAGAAGAGTAATAAATTAGGGGCCGATGGTGTAGAAGAAGATAGAGAGAGAGAGAGGTCAGATTTTGTTTTAGTCCATGACAGTCCTTTTTACTAATCTATAGAGATAACTATTATCATCGAACGAGAATGAAGAAACCCCAAATTGTCAGTTCCTATCTCAGCCCCCAAAATGGGTGCTTTTTCATTTACTTTAACCACCACCATTTATTACTCACACCATACCACTACCTTCCCCTTTTCCCTCTCTTTCTGGTTCGCGGTAAAAAAACAGAGAGAGGAATGCTCTGTTTCGTGTTTCCCCTCCTGGTTTTTTACAGCATTTGCTTCCCTGGTGTATGTATATGAAGCTGTACTTATTACTACCACTATGACTTTTCTTTCTGGTACAATTTGCCTACCCTACTTTACCTTTCTACCCCTTTCCTTTTCTAGATTTGTTGCCAAGTTATCATCACCTTTCCTGTGAAGGACACTACTACTGCAAGATGAGTTCACTCTTCTTGGTGAAGTTTGTGTTAGTGACAAGCACCTTTCACATGAAGCAGACTTATGGCGATGATTACTAGATGTGTGTGGATGCAACCGGTGGGGGCGAGTTTGAATTCGGTTGATCGTGGATCAAATGAGATCATAAGTCAGATTGAATGATCGATTGATTGTGTTATTAGTCGACCTGAGATCACGTGTTAATTGGAATGCGAGTTAATCTCATGATGATTTGATTAGAGTTGTCAGTTGGGCGAATCCCTATTTATATGTCTCTTCCAAGTGTCAAATTCTTAAACATCCGTCAGTATCGTAACTCTTCTCTTTCTAATTTATGAGAATGGATAAAATGCATTCTTTTGCATACTATTTTTGCTCGTATTCTTTGGATTTTCATGGAATTGATTTACCGCCTTCATACATATACAAAACAATGTGAATCTTAGAAAATGATTTTTTTAAGAAGCATCATCATATTATTAATACTATAGGTAATTGAAAATTTGATTGCATATGTCTTATCAAAGCCGATAACATATTTTAAATTCAGTACGTGGAACTAAATTTGGTCTGACCAAATCGGACCATATTTTCACAATGGGAAGAAGAAAATAAATTATCGTAGTAGTCATTCATGTATATGTCATAAGTTAGCATGTATTATTAGTATCTTCATAGTTTGACTCGCTAAAAACCCTAAACAATAATTATTGAGAATTCAATAAATGAAATTTGGAGCAACTGAAGAAAGCCAAAAAAAACAGAGGGGAGCCATGGACAGTGTCCATGAAACCGCAAACAGCTTTGTCTTTATATTTTTGTGCTCGTAGTTGATTAGGCATGGAAATTAGTCTTCACAATTGTTATAAAAATAATCATTTTCTGAGATGGTGAAAGCCAATTGAAGTTTGCTGATGCCGATGGGTCTATTCATCCCAAGATCTTCCGAAATTTTCGTATTCTGTCCAAAAGGATAATTTGTTCTTTTTCATGAATAGTGTTTTTGATAGGTAGTAAACTAATAATTGTAAAATTTGTGATGGTCCATTGCTTTCTTCTTCTTCTCCACCAGCATCTCGACGTGGGTTTGGCCAGCAACAACATTTCTCTCCACCAAAATGAAAGAACCACGAGAGCAACTCAATTGAAAACTAATATGGTACCGCGGAATTTTCAGAGTAAATGTCTATTGGTACTTTTTTAGGTTTGAATACTCTCTTCCCTTTTTCTTTCTGAGCGTCGTAGTTCGGTTCACCTTTAGTCCGATGGCAACCGTTACCGGCGGAGCCTCCCAGGTGTCGTCGGTGACGGACGTACTTGGGCGTCTCTTTTTTCGATCAATCCGGATTTTAAATTGGACTACTACGAACCGGAATATGTTAACGGCTCGTTGAGGATTCCCAAATCAGTTATTGATGAGGGTTCCAAGAGGTGGGTTAATTGCTTAGTTGGTCAATTTCTTGATCGCCCGATGTCGCTTTCTTCCATTCATTTCTGGGCGAATTGGATTTGGGGACGAGATGGAGTTGTTCGAGTTTCATGACTTGGGGAGCGCCTGGTTTTGTTTTAGTTTTCAAACGCGGAGGTTTGTCGCTGAGTATTCGAAGGAGGGCCTTGGCACCATCGCGAGAACACGATTTTCCTGTACAAGTGGGAGCCAGGTATCCAGCCTCTTGCAATTGATAACTCTGTGGTTCCAATCTGGGTTAGGTTATCGAATCTGCCTTCTGAGATGACTTCTAAGGAGGGATTATGGCGTATTGTTTGTTCTCTAGGTCGGCCTCTTTGTATGGACTCCCTACGAAGCAAGGGACGAGGTGGGGAGTTGCTAAGTTTTGTGTAGAAATTTCTGCGAAGTCGAACCTTGTAAACAAGCTTAGTATTACCCCTGATGGTAGACTAGAGATGCTGGTGGATGTCGAGTTTTGTCATTTCCCGAGTAAATGTGAGAAGTGTCAAGTGTTTGGACATGATTGCTTGAATCCTGGGGGACGAACAAAGAGGGTCTGGGTTGTGAAGCAGCCTCGTGTGAAAGAAGTAATTCCTGTCCTACAAGAGAACAAGGGTAAAAGTGTGGTTTTGGTTCTGATGAGGATATGGTTCAGTCATAGGGTAATTTGGAAGCTAATCCGAGCTCTACTGTTATAGGTGGTACTGAGTCTTCTCATATTATAGAGAAGGATCTTGATGTTCAAAATGAGTCCTCCAAGGAACTTATATTATGGTTCGAGAAAAAAAAATATGGATGATAAAGTGTTTCCTTCCCTAAGTAGACTTGTCTTGAGGTGTGTTGCTGATCCTCCTCCACCTGCTCCTGCTAAGGGTAAAGGAAGGGGGAAGAAACATGGGAAATGAAGGTGATGTGCTGGAATATCAGGGGCTTTAATGGAGTTACATCAATTAATAGTATTGATATACTTGCTAAACATTTTAGTCATTTGAAGCATTTGAATAACTATCCTAAATCACCAAATGGTCGAGTCAGGTTTCTCTGGAAAGATGGGCTGGATATCACTAAGGTTGATGACGGGCAGCACTTTTTCAAAGTAAAGGTTGGAGGGTCTTCTCCTTTCATTCTACTGGTGGTTTATAATCCAAATAAGGAAGTTGATAGGGTTGTTATGTACAAGGACCTTTTGCTCCAACAGGAGGTCCTTCTTCTTATGGTTATTCTTGATGATTTTAATGTCGTGCTTGATCCAGGAGAAGCTTCGAACCTCTCAGTTATGAACTCTAGCATGGTTGCCTTTAAATTCTAGGTTGATTACATGAAAGTGGTGGATCACAAGGTTATGGGTGCATGGTTTACTTGGTGGAATAAGTAAGTAGAGAATCCCATTGCAAAGCGGCTGGATAGAGTCTTAATTAATGAAGCTTGGTTGTCTGTAGTCTGTAGAGGTGGCAATTGGACCGGATTCGTGGATTTGTGGATTGGATTGGTGGATCCATGGATCAAATGGATTGGTGGATAGATCCATTAATCCAAATGACATCCAAGGCTTGGACCAAAATGTAAAATTTGAAAAGTTTTGGTACTAAAATGTCATAATGAAAAATTTTAGGTACCAAAATGTAATTTTCCAATGATATTTTTTGTATAAAAATAAAAATTTTAGGTACCAAAATGTAAAATATAAAAAATATAGGTACCAAATCGTAATTTGCCATTTGGATCCATGGATTGATCCATGAATCCACCAATCCAATTGGATTTGGATCAAATGGATTGGATTTAAATGAATTGGATTAGGTGGATAATTTGGTGGATGGATTGGATTGGATTCGTGGATTTGGATCCTAATTGCCACCTCTAGTTGTCTGCCTTCCCATCTAGCTCTGCTCTTACTACTCCTCCAGGAGTATATGATCACTGTGGAATGTTGTCGAAAGTTATCCCTCAGGTGGAAAGCTTCCCAAAATCGTTTAAGTTTTTAAATTTTGGACCAGTCATCCCACCTACACTAGCTTAGTTTCATATGCTTGGAGTTATGAGGTGGATGGGTACTCCTATTATGTGTTCTATGGTAAGCTTAAGCAAGTGAGGATGGATTTGAGGAAACTTAACAGGGAAGTTTATGCTGATATTTCTGCTCAGACCCGAGACTGTGAAAGTAGATTGGAGATGTTACAAATGTCTCTCCTTGCTAATCCAGATTCTACTCTGGTGGAGGAAGAAAAGAAACTTGTAGCTGAATTCCATGTGTTGCAGAAAGTTGAAGAGAGCTTCTATAAGTAGAAGGCTCAGACCATAGGGGTGCAGGAGGGGGATATGAATACAACGTACTTTCATCGTTCTGTAAAGATTCATTCTCATCTCCAACAGATCACTCGTCTTCTGAACTCCCAAGGGTGAGAGGTGACTTCTATTAAGGAAATGGGCAAGGTTGCAGTGGATTTCTATAGACAGCTAATTGGTGAAGTTGATCCTGCTGTCTTTGTTCATCCCTCCAGCTTCTTTGAACAATTGTCCCTTAAGACACTCTCACACAAGGAGGCTCTTTCATTGGTTGCTCCAATTTCTCAGGAGGAAATCCATCAAGTGTTCAAGAATCTTGGTAAGGACAAGGCTCCAGGGCCTGATGGGTTCCCATCTGA